GGTTTGTGAGGGGTGGGTTTGTGAGGGGTCGGTTTGTGAGGGGTCGGTGCCGGGTGTGAGGGGTGGGTTTGTGAGGGGTCGGTTTGTGAGGGGTCAGTGCCGGGTGTGAGGGATCGGTTTGTGAGGGGTCGGTTTGTGAGGGGTCGGTCCCGGGTGGGGGCAGAGCCCTGAGAGGTTTTTCTTTGGCGCTCTCCCCGCAGCCGAGCAGCCCCGAGAAGGAGCTGGAGCGGGACGTGTTCCTGTTCCGAGCCTACATCGCCCAGGTGAGGCCGGGCTGGGGGAGCTGCGGGAATCCTGGAATTGTTTGGGCTGGAAGGACCTGAAAGGGCGCCCAAGAGCCATGGCAGGGACACTCCCGCTGTCCCCTGTCCCTGTCCTGCCTGGCCCTGGGCACTCCCGGGGATCCTGGGGCAGCCACGGCTTCCCTGGGAATTCCATTCCCACCCTGCCAGCCAGGAATTCCTTCCCAAATTCCCGTTTTCCAGGTTAAACCCATTCCCTGTGTCCTGGAATCCCATCCCAAATCCCTCTCCAGCTCTCCCGGAGCCCTTTTAGGGACTGGAAGCAGCTCCAAGGTTTCCCTGGAGCTTCTCATTTCCCACCTGGGCACTCCCAGGGATGGAACAGCCACGGCTTCCCTGGGAATTCCATCCCATCCCCTCCCCTCCAGCCAGGAATTCCTTCCCAAATCCCTCCTGTCGCTGTTTTCTGGCCACGTCTCAGCCCTCCAGCTCCTCAGAAGTTATCCCAAATCCCTCCTCTCCCTGCCCTGTGGGAAGCCATTCCCTGCCTCCTGTCCCAGCCAGATCCCAGGGAATTCTGTTCCAGCTCCAACCTCACGGCTTTTCCCGCTTTTTTCCCGCTTTTCCTGGCTTTTTCCTGCTTTTCCCAGCGGAAGTTTGGAGTGGTGCTGGATGAGATCAAGGCCAACGCCGGCCCCGAGCTGCAGGCTGTTAGGATGTTTGCGGAATTCCTGGCCAACGAGAGCCAGAGGTGAGGGATTCCCTGCTGGGAATCTGGGAAAGGAGGGATTTGGAGAATTCCAGGGTTTTTTTGGGACACCAGGGATAACTTCCACTGGTCCAGGATGTTCCAGCCTGGCCTTGGACACTCCCAGGGGTGGAGCAGCTGCGGCTTTTCCACTTTTCTCCCCCATTTCCGTCCCATTCTCTCCCATTTTCTCTTCCTATATCCTGTCTTATACCTTTTTCTCCCATTTTATCCCATTTTCTCCCACTTCATCCTGTTTTATCCCATTTTCTGCCATTCTATTCCATTTTTACCCCATTTTCATCCCATTCTCTTCCATTTTCTCCCATTTTCTCCCATTTTCTATCGCTCTATCCCATTTTCATCCCGTTTTTATCCCGTTCTCTTCCGTTTTATCCCATTTTATCCCATTTCCATCCCGTTTTCATCCTGTTCTGTTACATTTTATTCCATTTTCTCCCATTTCCATCCCGTTTTCATCCTGTTCTCTTCCATTTTCATCCCATTTTCTCCCATTTTCATCCTATTTTCTCCCATTTCCATCCTGTTCTCTTCCATTTTCATCCCATTTTCTCCCATTTTCATCCTGTTCTCTTACATTTTCTCCCATTTCTATCCCATTTTCTCCCATTTCTATCCCATTTTCCTCCCGTTTCCTCCCGTTTTCTCCCCAAACCACCCCCACATTCCCACTTTCCCCACCTCCCAGGGACTCCATCGTGGCAGAGCTGGACAAGAAGATGTCCAAGAGCGTGGACGTGGCCAACTCCACCTTCCTTCTGATGGCAGCTTCCATCTATTTCCACGACCAGAACCCCGACGCTGCCCTGCGGGCCCTGCACCAGGGGGAGAGCCTGGAGTGGTGAGGGAATTCCCCAGGAACGGGATGGGAGCTTGGGAAGCCTCAGGAGGTTCCTGTCGGGGATTTTGGGGCTTTTCCTGCGTTTCCCGTGGGGAATGTGAGGGGTTGGGTGTTGATCCGTGTGGGGTCTGAGCCAGGGAGGGAGCTGGGAATCAGAGTTGGGGTCAGGAGGGACCTTCAGGACAATCCCAGTGGGGTTTGGGGTCAGGAGGGACCTTCAGGATCATCCCAGTGGGTTTTGGGGTCAGGAGGGACCTTCAGGACAATCCCAGGTGGGATTTGGGGTCAGGAGGGACCTTCAGGACAATCCCAGGTGGGTTTTGGGGTCAGGAGGGACCTTCAGGATGGTCCCAGGTGGCTCCAAGCCCTGTCCAGCCTTTCCTTGGCTGCTCCCAGGGATGGGAATTCTCTGGGAGTCTGAGCTGGATTCCAGGGGGATGGATTGATGATCAGTCCCTCTGCTCTGTCCTTGCAGCTTGGCCATGATGGTCCAGATCCTGCTGAAGCTCGACAGGCTCGACCTGGCCAGGTGGGACTGGGGCTTTTCCCTTTCCCTTTTTATTTTCCTTCTTCATTTTTCCTTTTCCCTCTTTTCCCTTTCCCTTTTTCTTTTCTTTTTTTATTTCTCCTTTCCCTTTTCTTTGCCCTTTTTCCCTCTTTTTCCTCCTCTTCCTTTTTCCCCTTTTCCTTTTCCCCCTTTTCCTTTTCTCCCTTTTCCCTTTTCCCCTTTCCCTTTTTCCCCTTTCCCTTTTTTCCCTTTTCCCTTTTCCCCTTTTCCCCTTTTCCTTTTCCCCCTTTTCCCTTTTCCCCTTTTCCTTTTTCCCCTTTTCCTTTTTCCCCTTTTCCCTTTTCCCCTTTTCCTTTTTTCTCCTTTTCCTTTTTTCTCCTTTTCCTTTTTCCCCTTTTCCTTTTTCCCCTTTTCCTTTTTCCCCTTTCCCTTTTCCATCTCCTTTCCCTTTCCCTTCTCCAGGAATCAAACCAAGCCTCTCCTGGAAAACTCAAGTGGAGGGAAAACCCCCCCAGGTTTTTATTTTTGTGCTGAAATCCCTTTTCCTTTGTGATTCCCACTTTTCCTGCAGGAAGGAGCTGAAGAAAATGCAGGAGCAGGACGAGGACGCGACCCTGACCCAGCTGGCCACAGCCTGGGTGAACCTGTCCATGGTGGGTCCCAGCCATTCCCAAAATATTCCCAAAACATTCCCAAAGTATCCCAGAGGAGGATGGGGAGCTGCTCTGGTGCTCCCATCCAGACTCCAGGACACAAAATGTCCTTGGAGGCGTTTGGGAATGAGGCAAAGGCGCTCGGTTTGGGAGTGCAGGTGACGAGGGGGTGGAAATAAACTCCCCAAATTCCATGGAATTTACACCCTGTGGGTGGGAATCAGGAATTCCCAGCTCAGGAATGAGCCATGGATGGAATCCCAGCACGGGAATGAGCCATGGATGGGATCCCAGCCCAGGACTGACCCCTGACTAGAATTCCCAGGAATATTCCCATGGATGCAATCCCTGTCTGGAATCCCCGGGAATTTTCTCATGGCTGGAATCCCTGTCTGGAATCCCTGGGAATTCTCCCATGGACAGGATCCCTGTCTGGAATCCCCATGGACAGGATCCCTGTCTGGAATCCCCCATGGACAGGATCCCTGTCTGGAATCCCCATGGATGGGATCCCTGTCTGGAATCCCCATGGACAGGATCCCTGTCTGGAATCCCCCAAGGACAGGATCCCTGTCTGGAATCCCCAAGGACAGGATCCCTGTCTGGAATCCCCATGGACAGGATCCCTGTCTGGAATCCCCATGGATGGGATCCCTGTCTGGAATCCCCATGGACAGGATCCCTGTCTGGAATCCCCCAAGGACAGGATCCCTGTCTGGAATCCCCAAGGACAGGATCCCTGTCTGGAATCCCCATGGACAGGATCCCTGTCTGGAATCCCCAAGGACGGGATCCCTGTCTGGAATCCCCAAAGGACGGGATCCCTGTCTGGAATCCCCATGGACGGGATCCCTGTCTGGAATCCCCATGGACAGGATCCCTGTCTGGAATCCCCATGGACAGGATCCCTGTCTGGAATCCCCATGGACAGGATCCCTGTCTGGAATCCCCATGGACGGGATCCCTGTCTGGAATCCCCCTGGACGGGATCCCTGTCTGGAATCCCCCCAAGGACAGGATCCCTGTCTGGAATCCCCATGGACAGGATCCCTGTCTGGAATCCCCCCAAGGACAGGATCCCTGTCTGGAATCCCCATGGACAGGATCCCTGTCTGGAATCCCCCCAAGGACAGGATCCCTGTCTGGAATCCCCATGGACAGGATCCCTGTCTGGAATCCCCCCAAGGACAGGATCCCTGTCTGGAATCCCCATGGACAGGATCCCTGTCTGGAATCCCCCCAAGGACAGGATCCCTGTCTGGAATCCCCATGGACAGGATCCCTGTCTGGAATCCCCAAGGACGGGATCCCTGTCTGGAATCCCCAAGGGACGGGATCCCTG